GAGATGGGAAGTAAAGGTCAGATGCCATTTCTGGATCCCAGCTCTTTTCTTCTTCCCTCCTATTCTGAAGAATTTAATACCAAGGAGACAATGTAAGCTGCGCCATTCTTTATAAAACCAAGGAGGCAGCAGTCATGCTACTGCACCCAAGGGCATATTATTTCTTTCCAACCCATCCCCCAAGCCAAGTGCCTCCTCTGATCTATTTCTGAAGGTTTTATTATGCAAACCTGAATGGATTTCAATTACAATAATTCTTTTCCTTCACCACCCCAATCGCAAAAAAGGACTAAATTATTAGCAATTCTAGGTTATAAAGGTGGTTTTTGCTTTTTGCCTCCTCTCTAGAGTCACCTTATTCTAGAAATTCTCTTCTCTGGACCCCTTTTGTCGGCTTTGGGAATAGAATTGTTTTATGGCACCCTGCTACTTAGCATGGCATGACTACTGATAGTCACATCAGGGAGGCGTTTGCCCACTTTTTTGTACCTAACACAGTTATAGTGGAGCAATCAGGCCTTGCCCAGCCCTCCCACAATCAAGCCTTCCCTATGACCTCTAAGAAGGATGAGTATGTATGGCTGGCAGAACTGAAGAGCTTTGCTAGAGGAAAGAATTAACATCAGCCTAATGTGGCAGCACATACCTGTAATCCCAGCATCAAAGGCAGTTGAGGCAGGAGATCACAAGTTCAAGTCTAGCATAGGTAATTTAGTGAGATTCTGTTTCACTAAATAAAAAAGGGCTAGAGATGAAGCTCAGTACGAAGGTCTAGCATTCAATTCCCAGTACTAGACATACAAACACTAAGAACTAACACATCTTAAAAGTGCCTACAGTGGTACCCTGGTACTTGTTAATTGGTTCTGGGAGGTGTGAGAAGTACCAAAAATGATAATTACCAAACGAATTGTTTTGACTGAAAAGGCTAGCAAGTCATGAGGCAACAGACACTGATAAATTCTAGCCTGCACAGAGTGTATGTATATGAGCATTGGACATCGTCTCTATACTTTAAAATTACCTCTGGATGACTTCTGATACCTAACACAATGTAAATGCTATATAAATAGGTGCTATACTGTGTTGCTTAGAGAATAATGACAAAAAGAATCTGCTCATGTTCAGTACAGGCACAATTCTTCTTTTGCTGACTGCTTTTCAATCCACAGCCCATTCACACAAAAACGACTGATTCAGAGGGCCAACTGTACGCAGTTATAACCTGGTGCAAAACTTGGTAGTTAACAAATCTTTCCATGAAAATTTTTCCCTGTACTTGTTTGTTACTCAACATGCAGTGCAGAACTTGTTGGGTTTCGCTGCCTCACCACTTGCTACTCTTTTCAGCCAAAACAATTTGTTTGGTACTTACCACTTTTTATACTTCTTGTGCCTGGCCTCATGAAGCCAATTAATAACAAGTGACAAGTACTGTATGTCATTTTACCTGACCTTCACAACCACTCTGGGTGGTAGACACTACCCTATTTTACAGGTGGAATATCTAACTGAGGCTTATAGAGTTTAGGAATTTGCCTAAGATTACGAGTTGATCAAAAGTAGATTCATCTGTATCACAGGCTACACAGCTATTGTAGGAGTGTGGAACAGGTCCTGAGAGGAGAAAGGGGCCACGACTGGACCATAATGAACTTAAAAGTAGCCAACTAGAGCGCATAACACGGTGCTGACGCTTGGTTAGAAAGAAAAAAGTGTAGGCCTTCTGGACTGGGGAACTGACTCCTAGTACACTGTACTTAATTAGAGGTGGTAGAGGCCTTACCTATAAGGAAATTCTGTGCACTACAGGGTTCCTAAGGGCATGGCTATAAGGAAGAGCTCCTGCTGTGAACATCAAACCAATATGACAAAGTCAAACATGGATAGAAACCCACTCACTTTTGTTTCTAAACAATCTGAGTGAAAGATCAGTTACTCAAGGTATGATTGACAACGATCAATAAGAAATGCAGTCAACTGTGTTAACTTTAGCCTTATGTGGTTCTGGGGAGAGCCCATCCCAAGTTGTCCTCAATGAACTGTCTTTCAGAGAAGTAGCTGCTCATTTATGCCATCAATAATCATTTAATGTGCAGTTCTCACATGGTAAGCAAAGTGATGGGCAGTAGGGGCCAGAGGTAACAAGACCACTGGTTCTACAAACCAAAGTGCTAAAGACGAAGTCCTAGGAACAACATTTAGTAGAGGTCCTATTCTAGTTTAGGGTGCATGATATGTTTCCTTGAGAAGGTGACATTAAAGTAAGGACTGAGAGATGACTAACAGGAAGCCAGCCAGCCAGGTCAGGGAAAATCACTGGGGACAAGGAGAGAGCACACTGGGAGCCTAGGATGAACTGATATGGTGGCAAATACTTCTAATGGCTGGAGGCTACTGTGCTTTGGCTTTGCATTCATACCTGGTACACTCACAACAGAAGGGCCAACACATAGAGAGCAGCTGTTAGCACGGGGCTACCTAGAAGACAAGCCAAGGTGCCGGGTCCTGCTCTGTCTCCATTCTTACCCTACCCTGCCATTGTGCCTGCAGTAGCAACAGCTGGCAAGGGTGGTAGGAAGTATATGGCTGTGCTTTCTCCTTGAGGTTCCCTTTTGCTCCTGGGTGCTGGTATCTTCAGGATGCAGAGCTCATCTTCAGCAGCCATTACAGCCCAAACATGCCTTCTAGGAGCTGTCTTACCAAGCCATTGCCCTCACTAATATAATGTTATCAAATTCCTAATGTGGGTACTCTAAAGCAAATGTACTGTTACCAGCCCGCCACCGGGCACATTTTTCAGAAGGAAAACAGATGCTCACTGAGTCTGTCACTTCTTCTTACTAGAGTGCACACATGCACACAGAGTGAGAGCTGGCAAAGGGCTGTTTTCCTTCACACCCTCATCAGGCACACTCAGGATGTAGCATCACATCTCTCAAAAGCCATCAGGGCTGCACAGCCTGGGGGAACCTCCTGGATTCTGGAGCAACTCTGACTAGTATGTCCAGGGCCTCAGAATCTGATGTTGTAGGCATCAGAGCTTCCAGTTTGCTAGTCTTATTGCCTCATTTTACAAGCCAGGAAGAAAAATACAGTACAATGAAGTTAAGAGTCAAAAGTCACACATTGGTTAGCTGTAGAATCACAGTTTGGTTCCTGTTATGGTTTGTGCCTAGATATCCTCATGCAGGTATGGGGAGGGGCAGAGATTTTCAGAGGCAGCTAAATCTCGAGTTTGTGATCAATTCAAGGTCCAATGTTGGAATTATGGGTGTGAGTGCTGTACCTGCCCTAGGGTGAGTAGCCGGTATACAATATGAGAGAGATTCTTGTCTCTCTTTTTTTCTCTAGTTCTTAGGTGTTGCTTTTGCTGTCTTCTGCAGTCAAGAACTGTTGCACCTCTGCCATGTGCTCCTCTGTCTGGAGCCAGCTGATAATGGACTGAAACCTCTACAAATTGTGAGCTAAATAAATCTTTCCTAGCTTAACTTTGAGCATTTGGTGTCTCAGCAATGAAAAAAGTAACTAAAACAGTTCCTTTCTCAGCTGATTTCCTTATCTGAGAAAACAAGGATACTATCATCTACTCTGTAGGTTGTGAAGCCTAACAGCACATAATGTAGCAAAGTCAGGCATGGCAGGTCTGTAGCACTGGAATAATTACTAGTTGCAAACTTTTACCTCCTGTCCCACCCACTGCCTTTTTTGGTAAATTTATACAAGGGAAAGAAAAAGAAGCCAGCAGTAGGGTTAATGTGTTTAGAGACAGTGTTTGGTCACTACCTGATTTAAGTTAAACTAAAGTAACTACTTGGTCTCAGATCTCCAGGCTACAGTATCCACGCAGCTATTTCTCCCTGCCTCTGTCAGGCTTTCTGCTATCTCCAGAGCTGATTTGATCAGAGCAGTTATCACTGGAAGTGACCTCCAAACACAGGTCACACCACCTTCCCTCCAGGCACTCCAAATTGGAAGAGACAAAGCCAAGTCAATCTGAGAACATACAGGAGTTCTTACACTTTTAGGAGGGTAAGGAATAAAAATATAATGTAGATTCTTATGTAAATTCTATTAATCACTGTTAAACAAACAAAAAAACTTTGTTCTGATCTGCTTTGTTACCTCCTGTTTTGTCTTAATCTCTTTAAAAAACTCATCCAAACCATGAAGCAAATGTTGCTTTTGACAAGATAAGCAAATTAGTTCACCAAACATCTTGGGTTCTCCTCTCCCTCTCACACACTACCTTTTCATTCCTCCAACTCCCCCCCCCCCCCCCCCCCCCCGCTCCACGCTTTAAAATAACCATCCAACCATGTAAATTCCCTGGTGCAAGTGTCTGCTAGCCTCCAGAGGAGCTGTCAATGCTCATAAATCCCTGGCCTTCCAGATTACACTGTGGCTATTTATTGAGGGGAGGGACGCAGGCCACTAGACAATAGCAGGAAGAGATTGGCCTAGCAGTAACTACTCTGGTTATAGTGTCGCAATTCATGGCAGCATTTTGTTGGGAGTGTGCACCATCAGGGAGGAGAAACATAAAAAGGGGAACCTGGGCTGTAAATAGTTTATTTCGGCAGTTCCTGATGTTGGCTGAATCATACTTTAATACGGAAATACATGAAAGCACCATTCCGGAGGTGACATGTGCTGCCACCTCATTACTCTTTTCAAAAGGGCCCTCCATCAGAAAGACACCTTGCTACAAATTACAGTGAAGAAAACAAAACCCTCGCACACAGACTTATTAACAGGTCGGAAGGAAATGAAACCACCAGATCTCAACAAGCAGGGGACAGGGGCAGCAAAGGGCATGGGTGACTTGGGGCCTCTGGGTTGCTTTGCCATGTATGGAAAATCAGAAGATAAAAAGAAAAGGGAAGGGCTCTCCCTATCAAGAGTCTATGCCCCAAATGCAGACCAGAATGTTTCAAAGTATCATTGCGCTAGTTCTCCTAAAGCTCCTAAATTAGGCTACCTCTGCCTATGAACCCTACCTTCGTGCTCCTTCTCGGTAGTTCCCACTTTCTTGATCTTCCTGGGAGATTTCATAAAGAGAGGAAAGATGGTCCGTAAGCCGAGAATATCAACGAACTTATGGCAATTGTCTGTGCCCTCTGGTCCGATCATGGCATGGTCCAACACTTTCAGGGCACTGCTCCGTGAAATCTTCTTTTCCCTGTGAACGAAAGACACTTCTTTTCAGGCATTTCATAGGGCTGTACCTCCAGTATGTATGTGTGTGTAAGTTTCAGTGTTAAAAAATAAGTGTTTTTACTGCAGTGCTCATTATAATGGGTTGCAGGAAAGAAAAGATAACAGCTTAAATGGTTACATTATGATCAATCTAAATGGAATATCACACACTTGATAACTATTAGGATAGTCGGTAATAGGATGAATAAATGCAGTTAGAATGATAAACACAAAACTAATATTCAAAATTTATTATGAAACATTATTACAATTAAGTGAAAAATGCCATTAAAAAATAGGAAAAAACAGATCAAAATGCTAGGAAATATTATAAGTTATATGATTATAGGTGGTTTATTACTCCTTTCCCTTCATTTTAAAAACTTTATCAAGATGTAACTTGATATTATTCCTTCTTTAACAGCTTTATTACAAGATATAACTCACATACCATGTGATTCATACTATGAATAATATGATTATTCCTTTTTCTTTATAAAAGTTTTAACAAGATATAACTCACATATAATATGATTCTTATGCATATTTAAAATGTACAGCTCAATGAATTTTACTATATTCACAAGTATAGGTAACTTTATGGTTTAGATCTAAAATACCCCCCCAATCTCATATGTTCAGAAGTGAGGTATTTGGAAGGTGACTAAATCAATGGGACACTACACGTATTAATGGATCAGTTAATTAACGAGTTCACAGCAAGGTGTGCTGTTAAGAGGTACAGCCCAATTTGAGGAGGTGGCTCACTGGGGGTGTGACCCACAAGGGTGTGTTTCTGACCCTGACTTCTCTCCTCTCTCTCTGCTTCCCTCGTAGCTATGGGATGAGCTTTCATTATGCCATGCTCTTCCACCATGCTAATTCTGCCTTGGAGCCAGCCGATTGTAGACTGAACACACTGAAACCGTGAGCCGAAGTAAATTTCTCCTTTAAGTTGTGAGCATTCTGTCCCAGTGATGGGAAATTGATTAATATAGTATCAGTCACCACAATCAACATAGAACATTTTCATTACCTTGAAAAGAAACGATATACTCTTTTCTTTAGCTTTCATCTCCAATCACATACTCACCATAACTAGGGATAGTTCTAAGCAATCACTGACCTATGTTCTGTCTGTATAGATTTGTCTGTTCTAGACATTTCAAATAAATGGTATCATACAATATGTGCAGGTTCTTTCACTTGATATGTTTTCAAAGTTCATCCAAATTGTAGTATGCACTGGTACTTCATTCTTCTACACAGCTGAAGAATCCACTGTAGATATGCCACAATTTGTCTGTACATTTTATCTGTTCGTGGACATCTGGGTTGCTTTTATCTTTTTAATATTATGAATAATGTTGCAAAAAACATTCATATAAAAATTCTTATGGAGAAATATGTTTTAATTTCTTTCAAATAAAAAGTACAAATGCCTAAAAGTACAAGTACCTAACAGTACAAATGCCAGGGCATATGGTAACTCTTATCATATAACCTTTTCAGGAACCACTGTAGATGCATCCTTTTACTTTCCCATCTCATTTCTCTATTCCTTGCTAACACTTACCTGGGTTTTTGGTTCTCATCATCCTAGTGGGTATGAAGTGATATCTCATTACTATATTGATTTGTATTTCTCATAACTAATAACATCAAGTACTGTCTCATGTACTTATTAGCTATTTGGATACCTTCTTTGGAGAAATGTCCATTCAGATGCTTTGCCCATTTGAAAATTGTGTTACAGTCGTTATAGTTATGAGTTTTTCATATATTCTGAATATGATTTGGAAACATTTCCTCTTAGGGGATTATCTTTTTCACTTTCATGATAATAATATTGAAGCACAATTTCTGAAGTTCAATTTAGTTGCCATATCTAAGAAATCATTACCATATCTAATGTTGTAAAGATTTACCCCTGTTTTTTTTCTAAGAATTTATTAGTTTATTTAGCCTCTCATCCAGTTTGAGTTAATTTTTACACATGAGGAAAGGCTTCAACTTCATTCTTTGCATACAGATATGAAGTTGTTTCGTTATCATTTGTTGAACACCCACTATTTCCTCATTCAATGGTCTTGGCCCTCTTATTGAGAAGCATCCGACCAAAGACATGTGGCTTTACTTCTGGATTCTCAGTAACATTCCAATGACTTATATGTCTATGCTTATACCAGTATCACACTGTCTTGATCACCACTGCTTTGTAGTAAGTTTAGAAAGTGTGATTCTTTCTCTTTGTTCTTTTTAAAGATTGTTTGACTGTTCTGGGTTCCTTATAATTTCACATACATTTCAGAACCACCTTGCCAATTTCTAAAGTGAAGTCAGCTAGGCTGGTGGTAGGCACTATGTTAGATCTCTATATCACTGTGGAGGTACTCCATCTCAGTAACATTCTTTTCCCATTTATGAGCAAAGGATGTTTTCCATTTACTTAGATCTTCTTTTACTTCTTTCAACAATATTTCATAGATTTCAGAATATAAAATTTGTACTTCTTTTGTTAAGTATTTTATTCTTGATCCTGCTATTAATGAAACTACTTCCTGGGGCTAGGGATTTAGCTCAGCGGCATAAGCACCTGCCTTGCAAGCAGGCAGTCGTGAGTTCGATCCCTGGTACCGATAAAAATGAAAAAGACCAAAAAAAAAAAAAAAAAAAGAAACTACTTCCTTAGTTTTATTTTGAACTGTTCATTGCAAATACACAGAAATACAACTGATCCAATCACCTCTTCAGCAGTCTCAACTTCTAGGAAGATGGAGGAGTGGTGAGCAGCAGGGCTACAGTGTCTCTGAGATTTGGCATTCAGATGTGGGAACATAGCAATGTGAAGAAGAGAAGGAAGGAAGTAGGTCCCCAAAACCCAGCAAGGATGTAAAGTGAGAACTGAAGCCCAAAGGGAGAGCAAAGAGACAGACTTCAACAAGAGACGGCAGGCAACACTTTCTCCTTGAGCTGGGACTCACTATGTGGCCTCAGTGGCTTCCATGGAGAAATACACCAGTGGAATAGAGCAGTGGATGCCGTGGGCTGCAGTGGTTGGTGAGTTATTTAGGTTCAGACAACCCCTAGGAGATGGGGACTGGCCAGTAGCCATCTTAGAGATGGGCCAACTGAGCTCAGAACTCAGAATGGCTGTGGGCTGGTTCTACCTAGCAGCTCCCAGTGTCAAGGTGAGGTTGCCAAGTTCAACTGAGCAGGAGGTCACAGAGTTCAAGCCTGCAGGAGGCAGATGTAGAGTTACAAGCTTAAAAAACTGAGTTGCAGCCAGAAACCAGCCTGAACTTTGGTGGAACTGAAGGTGCAGGCTTGCTGAGATTATCCACTAACCCACCATAAAGCTAGGGCTGGCCTACTGGGATCAATCAACGCAGATCTGGACTCTGTCTGCTCACACTGTCCACTAGTGACAGCAAAGATATGCCTTCAAGTGGACATTGTTTTTATTTTCTTTTTTTCCCTTTTACTTGATTTTGTTTTGTCTTGTTTTCTGTTTGTTCTTGTTTTTACATGAGTGTGAACATGGTTTCATCTTTTTGTTGTTGATACTTTATTCTATTCTTATTTTTACTTCTTCCTTTTTCTTTCCCTCCTATCTTCTTCACCAGATTCCCAAAATTTGTGTAATCTTCCTTTGTCCTCTAATCTTGCTTCTCAATTGCTACCTCTTTTTCTAGTTCTTTACTTTTCCCCAACCTCATTTAAATCTTCTTCCCTGAGGGTAAAATTGCTATATTGAGGGCTTATTTACTGTATACACTTTTCTAGTTCATTTTATTTATTTATTTATTTATTTACTTATTTATTTATTTGGTTGGTTGGTTGGTTGGTTGGTTGGTACTAGGACTCAAACTCAGAACCTTGTGCTTGCCAGGCAGGTGCTGTGCCACTGAGCTATACTCCTGGCCTCCTTTTAGATTTTGCTTTAAAAAACAAAAACAAAAACAAAAAACTACAAGTCTAATTCACACAGTTAGAGAAGGCAAATTAGTAGTTACCAGTTTGTCATTTTCTAGGTTGTGTTTGATGCTGTTGTTAATGCTAAATGTACTGCTTTCCCCAAGGTGACATCATTGTTCTAACTCAGTTGTCCTTCCTGGTATACCACCAGGCAAGCCAAGCAACTAAACAGAATGAGGAAAAGGGAAGCAACAACAGGAAAACAACATGACAAGATTAAGTCAACAGGTATCAGTTATAACTATCAATGTTAATGATCTCAGTTCACCAAACAAAAGAAATAAACTGGCAGAATGGATCAAGAAGCAATATCCAACACTATGCTGCCTATATGTAACACATTTAATTCAAAAAAATTTCACAAACCGAAAGTCAAAGCAGAAAAATAATATTCCATGTAACAGGAACCTGGAAAAAAGCAGGGGTAGCTATTCTATTTGCAGACAAAGTGAATTTCAAGCCAAGATTAATTAAGAGAGACAAAGAAGGTCACAATATCCTTGTAGAGGGAATGATCCAAGAGGAAAAGATAACAATCATTAATATATATGTATCAAATACCAGTGTACCCAAATATAGCAAATAAACATTAGTGGACGTGAAAAATCAAATAAGCACTAATATAATTGTAATGGGGGATCTCAATACCCCACTGTTAAAAATAGACAGATCAGACAAAAAAAAAATCAACAAATATCAGAGCTGAACCAAATTTCTGAAGAAACAGACTTATTTACAGTGCTTGACCCCACAACATCAGAATACACATTCTTTCAGCTGTGCAGGGGACATGCTCTAAAATAAGAACCACATACTAACTCATAGCTTAAATAAATGCAAAGGAACTGACATTATCCTATGCATATTATCAGACCACAGTGCAATGAAATGGGAAATCAATAGCAAAAGAAACCACAAGAACTTCATAAACACATGGAAATTAAATTAACAGTTTCCTGAATAACCAATGGATCACAGATGAAACAAAAAATTAAGACAGTTTCT